GAAATGAAATTTTTAATTATTGCAAAGTTGATATGTGAGTTGTGTTCTAACACTTTTTATTCACATAATATATGTGCTAGGGTAAGGTCGAATTCTTGTACTTAGGTGTATGAGCATACAGTCTGATTCAGTTTCTTCTTATTCTCCTTGAGGGGAAATAAAAAGAGAGCTCTGAATGAAGTGGATGCTCAGTGTCAGTTAAAACTACTGTAGCTGAATGAAGGTAATCAAGTTTCATCAGCAACGACCTCCAGCTTGTGCTAAGTATTTCTAGAATAGTCATTTGATCTATGGTCATACGCTTGGAAAACCGCTGCCACGCACCTTGGTACCTTTTCTGAATTTCTCTATCTATTAGTAAGGCGATAAGATATTATGATTTTAAAAATGCACGAAAGTGTACAATGCGACTGGAACTAATATCCAATATTGATAATGCGAGCGTGGAAAATTGACGGTTTTTGATCTCTCATATCTAGTTCTAATGGCTTGGTTCGAGTTGTTCGATTCACAACTTCAAGGACAAGGAAATCTCCTCTGCTTTCTTGCTTTTAGCCTTGGTGAGGTGGATGTTTTGTGAGTTAGAAAGTTGCAATTTGTAGAGTGATTGGGAAGCTACGGTTGCTGGGAAGATTAGGGGAGTGTCGTGACTCCTGTCTGTGTAGGTACATGAATGAGAATAGTAAGGTAGTGGTAAAGGAATGAAGAAGAAAAGGAGGAAACAAGGGAAGAGAAAAAGGAGGGGTGAAGAAGAGAAATAAAAGGGAGACAAAAGTATGTGGGAACAGCCCGAAATTGTAGCGTAGGTTTGGTCCCTACGGAAGAATTAGTAGGCGATGTGGATGTATTGGGTGGCGAGATAGTGAGTGGCAAGTAGGAGGAAGGTGGGGCTGGGCTGGTGAGGTTGGTTACTACTTTAGGATTTGTCCTGGTGCGAACTTGACAGACGCAAAGACCAATCACTAATTATTCGAACTTGTTATATACCCACGAATACGAGACCAAGGAAGAACACGATAGCGTAGTCGGATGGAATAGTATATTTGGATGGTTATGCCAAAATACCGATGCGTTCCAACTAACTGGCTAGAGAGTCGAATACGAGCAATGCAACGTAACACGACAGCGTGCCAAATGGCGAGGATGCTTGACCGGGTGCCTTCAGCTTAGCGAGTCCAGTTAAACTATCAAGGTCAGCATCAATGTCGAAAGTCGTCAAACCCTAGGCTATTGATTTTGGGGAAGTGTATGACGCTACAGATCACTCCCCCCTAGTGGGTTCGTGAGGACCCTAAGACGATACCAGCCGGAAGTAAAAACCCAGTGGTTTCTCCACTGGTAAAACTCTTCCGATGGGCTCACTGCGTGAGGTGGCCCCTGGTTGTCTGAACCTTATTCTAGGGTGTCGTGGCGATTAAATAAATAAAATACAATAAATGAAATTGTACGTCGGTCGCGGTCATCTGTTCCTTTCGACGTTCCGTCCAGTGCTCGTTGCACCTGGAATATAAATAAAAGTCTTTAATACCACGAAAACGTTGCGTAAAAATGGGAATTATTTATATATAAACGTGTCGAAAAAGAAAAATTTACGCTTATCTTCGCCGTTTTTTTTAGTTTTTATTACATGGTAAATAAAAATTGATATAAAAAGGCAAAGTGTACGAGGGTTTGTGCATTGCCGGTAAATAAGAAAAATAGTGCCTCGAAAAAAAAAAAAAATGGTTGGCACACACACAGCTAAGTTGAATATGACTTCAGGTACTCTGGGAACCTGACGGTTCGACCTGATCGTGTTTTTTGTTGCGCCGCTGGTTGTTGCAGCTGTGCATTACCAGGCACATCGTCGAGAATTTCGATAATTGAGTCATCCGTCGGTCGGATGTAGCGAGCTGAAACGTCACTTACAATGGGGTTGCCTTCGAAATAAGCTGGTTTCAAACGGTCGATACTGACAGTATCTTCACGTCCTCTCGCTCAATTACATAGAATTTCTCATGTCGCTTAATCACTTTGAACGGCCCGTCGTAGGGTGGTTCAAGTGGTCGACGAACAGCGTCGTGGCGAACAAACACGTGTGATGTCTTCTGTAAACTGGGGTGGACGAAAACATCAGTCGTTTGCGGTCTAATCGGAGAAGGCCTAACTGAACGCATTGCGTTTGTAAGCCTAGTCACGTAAGATGCCCTGTCGGAAACATGTTTGAAAGTTGAAGGGGAAACAAACTCACCTGGTAGGCGAAGAGTGGTCCCATAGACGAGTTCTGCAGGAGTGCATCCAGCATCAACTTTCAACGCGTTACGAATACCTAGTAGGACTAGAGGCAGAGCCTCGGTCCACTGAGGTATGTTTGTAGCTGAAAGGGAAGCTTTCAGCTGTCGATGGAAACGCTCTACCATGCCATTTGCTTGTGGATGGTAGGCTGTCGTTCGGAACCGAGTGCAACCTAAAAGTGCCGTTAGAGCGTGAAATAATCCGCACTCAAATTGGCGCCCACGGTCGGTTGTGACGTAGGATGGACATCCGAAGTTCGCGATCCATCTTTCGACGAAAACACGAGCAACTGTTTCGGCAGTAATATCTTTAATGGGTACTGCTTCCGGCCATCGTGTGAAACGATCAACACAGGTGAAAAGGTAGGTACATCCATTAGATTCTGGTAGGGGTCCTACAATATCTATATGGACGTGGTCGAAACGCATGTCTGGGGCTAGAAATGAGCCTAAAGGGCTTTTCGTGTGTCGCGTGACTTTACACTTTTGACAAGCTAAGCACGACTGGGCCCACTCCTTAACGTCTTTGTTCATCCCAGGCCAGCAGAAACGTTGTGCGATAAGCCTAATGGTGGCTCGTACACCTGGATGAGAGAGTTTGTGCAACGTATTGAAGACGTTGCGTCGACAACTCTTCGGAACTATTGGGCGTGGTTGACTAGCAGAGACATCGCACAAAATTGCATCCTTGTCTGATCCAACAGGACAAAGTCGCAGTTTGAGAGTTGTGGACGACAACTCATGATGCAGCTCAAGGTCTTCCTTTTGACGCCGAGCTAGTTCAACGAGATCAATACCCTCGATATAGTTTATCGAAGCTATTCGAGATAGTGCGTCGGCTGCGGAGTTGTTTGCTCCAGAAATGTGGCGGATGTCTGACGTGAACTGGGAAATGTAATCCAGCTGTCGCGACTCACGAGGGGAGTATTTGTCAGACGCCGAGCTGAGGGAAAACGTTAACGGTTTGTGGTCTGTGAAAATAATGAAATCACGACCTTCCACAGAATGTCGAAAATGGCGTACAGAACAGTACATGGCTAGGAGTTCCCTACCAAATGTACTGTATCTTGTTTCCGCGTCTTGCAGCCGCCTCGAGAAAAAGGCTAACGGTTGCCACTGGTTGTCAGTCAACTGTTGCAAAACTGCTCCAATTGCTGAATCAGATGCATCAACAGCAATACTCAGAGGAGCATTGGGGTCATGATGCATAAGCATGGTTGCGTTCGAAATGGCTTCCTTGACTTTGGAGAAAGCAAGTCTAGCCGCGTTGTCCAGAGACACGAACTTCGCAGTTCCTCGAAGTAGATCTGTGAGTGGTCTCATGACAGAGGCACAGTTAGGGATAAACCTTCGGTAATAACTTACCAGGCCATTGAAAGTGCGGAGATGTTTCACAGTGGTCGGCTCTGGATAGTTTGTGATAGCCGCCACTTTATCTCTCAATGGGCGTATACCTTTGTTGTCAATGGTATGCCCAAGGAAGCTGAGTGATTCAACTCCTATTTCACACTTCTGTAAGTTAACTGTGATGCCATGTTTTTTGAGTCTTTCGAATGCGAGGTCCAAATGTTTAAGGTGTGTTTCCTTATCTGGACTCGCAATTAGACAGTCATCGATGTAGACATGAACAAAATTCAGACCACGGAAGACGTCGTCCATAAAGCGTTGGAATGTTTGTGCTGCATTCCGAAGACCAAAAGGCATGCGCAGGAATTCAAACAGGCCAAAAGGAGTAATAATGGCTGTTTTCGCGATATCTTCTGCTGCCATAGGTATCTGGTTGTACGCTTTGACCAAGTCGATTTTCGAGAAAATGTTCATGCCGCATAAGGTTGCGGTCAAGTCGTAAACGTGGGGTATAGGGTAGCAGTCCGGAGTTGTTTTGGCGTTAAGCCTTCGGTAATCACCGGTCGGACGCCAGTCGTTGCTATCCTTTTTGGGCACCATGTGCAATGGCGATGCCCAAGGACTGTTTGACGGTCTGATAATGCCCAGTTCGAGCATATGGTCGAATTCATTTTTCGCCGTTTGCAGCTTATCGGGGGCTAAACGGCGAGCTTTGGATGCCACAGGTGGACCTGTGGTTGTGACGTGATGCATAACATTGCTGGTTATGCACGGAAGAGTGTGTTTCGGTTGTTGTAACTCTGGATATTTCTCCAGAACTGCCTGGTAGGACGCGTCGCCTGATTGTTTAGTCCTAACGATGGCTAAACTCGGACCTACATAGGTGGTGCCGCCAATAGATAACTTTGTGTTGTTATCTATCAGTCGTCGACGGCGAGCATCTACGAGTAGATCGTAATGGTTTAGCAAATCTATGCCAATGATGGGCATAGAGACGTCTGCCAGGAGGAAATCCAGTGAATAGGTTTGCGTAAACCTAAGTTGAGGTAGGCATACCGTCTCCCGAATGTCGCGATTGCCTTGCCGTTGGCTGCTTGAAGATTGAAGGATGGGTCGAGATGACGCTCCTTTGTCGTTGCTGGAAGAACGCTAACTTCTGCGCCGGTGTCGACGAGGTAGCGGACTTTCGTTTTAATGTCGGTGACGTAGAGCAAACGGCTTTTTCCGCCGGCTACGGTTGCCGTGAGCACGTGCCGGCGTGACCGTTTCCCGAGTTTGTCCTTCTTAAAACGGCATGGTTTACGACATTTTCTGGCTTCATCCCCGTAAGTGTTATGAAACCAGCACCATTCAGGGTTTTCCACCCTGTTGGGTTTCGTTTTAGGGCTACCACGCGACTTGCTGCGATGCGCCAAGGTGCGTTTCTGTGAAGTGCTACGTGATCTAGGACTTCGAGATCGTAGCAACCGTTTCACAGAGTTGCACAACTTGGTCACCTCCGAATCCTGGCGCTCTGGTTTGTCGCAGATAGAATATACGTTGGAGACGGGTCTGCTGGATATCTCCAGTATTTTATCTGCTGAGGCTGCCAGGTCGTCGAGTGGGACTGACTGGAGTGTCACCAACACGGTTTGCACCGGTTGTGGTAGTTTCGAGAGAAATAGTTCTCGGAAGAAACCATCGTCAAATGTTCGTGCACCGATTACTTCTCGCATGCGTGCGAGGACTTCAGTAGCTGAGTGGCTGCCTAGCTCGATGTTACGAAGCAATTCGTCTAGACGTTGGCGATCTGTGAGATCGCTTTTCTTCAAGAGTGCGGCCTTTAGAAGTGCATAAGGGTCACTTACTTCAGGATTAAACATGTTTGCTGTAACATACCTGTTTAATTCTCGCGGTAGTGAACGTATGACAGCAAGAAATCGAGATTGAGGATCTGAGACACCCTGTTCTCGAAAATCGGCCTCGGCATACAGAAACCATGTTTCTGCATTGTCTGGCCAATATGGCACGAGTTGGATCGTGTTCGAGTCGGCTTAATACGAATAAGCTTGGGAGTGTGGTCGGACATGAGAAAGTGTAGTAAATGGATATATAAATGTTATCGAAATGAAAACAATAAACAAATATAAAATGGAACAGGCTCACCAATTCAATACTTGTTATTGGTCGGGATATGTGATCACGTCGGGCTCACCAATTTAGGATTTGTCCTGGTGCGAACTTGACAGACGCAAAGACCAATCACTAATTATTCGAACTTGTTATATACCCACGAATACGAGACCAAGGAAGAACACGATAGCGTAGTCGGATGGAATAGTATATTTGGATGGTTATGCCAAAATACCGATGCGTTCCAACTAACTGGCTAGAGAGTCGAATACGAGCAATGCAACGTAACACGACAGCGTGCCAAATGGCGAGGATGCTTGACCGGGTGCCTTCAGCTTAGCGAGTCCAGTTAAACTATCAAGGTCAGCATCAATGTCGAAGTCGTCAAACCCTAGGCTATTGATTTTGGGGGAGTGTGTGACGCTACACTACCTTAGTACATCCGTGGCAGGCCATGCGAAGTGATACAACTGTCTAATCATCTCTTTAATGGGTCTACTGAGGGAGCTATGGTGATGTGTCGCGGCGAGGTATTCCATAAACTCCATACTCTCAGGGAGAAAAAATTGGACCTGAATATGGTGTTGGCTCTCTGGTGTGCTATCCTAAAGCGGTTTCCTCGTAAAGAACGCGGAGCCACCGGTAAGGCAAATCTGTTTACGTGGCCTGCCTGATGGGCGGTCTTGTATGCCATAATAAGGTCACCCTTCTTCCTGCGATAACCTAGGGCGACTAGGTTTCAGTATTTTATTCCCTCATGGAATGTCTTCTTTAGCTCCACAATTGATTCTGTCGCAGTTCTTTGTATTTTTTCAAGGAGTTTAGGGTCTTGTTTGAGTATTGGGGGTCAACCGTACTGAACACCTCTAAGTGCGGCCGTGCGTAGGATTTGAAAACGGTGAAGAAGAGTTCGGGTGTGAGGACACCAAGCTGTCTACGCAGAAATGGCACTACGCGTTCGCTGTGGTTGTCATATTTTTGCAGTTGGGGCCGGTGTCCAAAGTATCGGAGAAGTTGAGTCCCAAATCTTTCCCCGTGGATACTCTGGTGATAGCACGGTTGTTCAAAGTGTACTGGAAGTCGGCCGTACTTGCTTCATATTTACTGATGTGCATTGCTTTGCTTTTTTCCAGGTTGAAGCTCAGGCCATTTTCCGACGACCAGAGTTCGAGTTGCTGCGAGTTATTTTGTAGTGCTGTACAGTCGGCTTCTTCGTTTACCACCCTCCAAATTTTAATGTCGTCAGCGAAGAGGATGGTGGGTGAGAACATTTTGTCTGGCAGACCATTGACGAACAGGGGAACTGAAGTGATCCTGGGATTGCTCCTTGGGATACTCCTGACGTCGACGGTCTCCACTCCTACTGTATTCTGCTGACCTTGGTGCAGAACTGCCTACCTTCTAGGTACTTCTTGAGCCAGGAGAGTAGGGGTTCACTTACGTTGGCTGACATGGTCTTGTGAAGCAGGACTGTGGGTGGGATACTGTCAAATGCTTTGGCTAAGTCAAGGAAAACAGTATGCATTGGTTTTCTGTTGTCCCAGCTGAGTGCCCAGCCGTCGTAGACGGTTAACAAGTTGATGGCATGCGAACGACCACTCCGAAAGCTGTGTCAAGCAGTGAAGGGTGGTTTTCCTCGTTGAGGACTTCCTAGGTGGTGTTAGCTACCCGGGTTTCTAAAACTTTCGACAGTGTAGAGAGTACAGCAATCGGTCTGTGGCTTCCGGGATTTCTTCCGTCTCCTCCTTTGGAGAAGGGTAACAAGATAGCGCGCACCCATTCTTTAGGGAGTTAGCATGACATTACTGAGTGCCTGAAGAGGTCGCAGACCGGTTTTCCAAGCACCCCGGCGCCGCTTTTCGGATTACTGGTTTTGGGTTACCGCAGCCAGGGGACTTGCCTTGGCGTAGCCTATGGCAGGATGAGTTGTTCCTTTCTTAACTTTTTCGGCCTCAGCAAGGAAGTAACACTAAGCCAGTGCCTGCCAAAAGTGGCGTGTGTTCGTACAATTCATTGTTCGAAATATGGCACCATTGTAACGTTTATTTCGTATAGGTTAGAATCCCCTCGAATTCGAATGTGCGTGTGCCCCGGTTTTTAGAGTAACTGACCGCCTCCAGCCCCTAATTTTCGCTCTTGATGCCAGCAGGTGCTTTCTTACACAAGACATGCACTAAGCATCTGGCGATCTTAGCGTTATGTATGGTGGGCTATGATTCCAAGGGCAGCCCAAATCACAAACGCTCATCTGGAAACATTCAGTGAAAGAGTTGGCGTGAATAGCTGTTCCGCTTCCCGAATCAGCCGCTGTCCCTTTGTGAATTAACACGGTGTAGGCAAACGATGGCTCCTGACCAGAAATTTCAGAACACATCCATATCTCAATGACGCATTCAACATGGCACCGCAACGGAAAAACAATTCGAAAATCAGTCCTCATCACCCTATTCGATGGCATTGACATTTATTTGAATGGTTTTACCCTCGTTATGGATGGCGTACCTATGACCCTAGCAGGTGTAATGTTATTTGGTTGGTTGGCTGCCTTCTCTGACTTTGCACTCAGTGTTTGCCTCTGTATGATTGGGACCTATCATGAATGTCTCACTTTCCTATTATGTGACACTGGACTGTTGACAAGGTGATGTTGTTTTACTGCATCCGACAGTTTGTTTCGGTTCAACTTACGGTTGTACTGTGATTTGACTGTTTGTCTTTTGACTGTCTACTGGAAACGTTTACTTGTTGATTTGGTTCTGGTAGACAGAGTTTTGATTCCTTTTGTCGGGGATATTCTTATTGACTGTCAGGTACTTAACAATTGTATTTGTCTGACCAGTTTTCACGGCATAGTACGTATTTGCACCCAAGAACGTTTGGAATGGATTGTTTCCCAACGTAATAGAACCCTCAGCATAAGGAAGATAAGGTTCTATGGGAAAAGATCCGCAGCAAACTGAAGCTAAGCCCTACTCGACCAGAAGCTGCAACTAGGCTCTCACGGGTTCCTGAACCAATAGACAAGAGATGTCCCGACGTTTCGGGTTGTCGTTCACCCCCTCACGTGGTGTTGACGATGTTATGCCGGCGTCCCAAGTGCTCAAAGCCAAAGAGGATGCTGGAATAATCGCAGATACCCCAAACTCTGAAGAAATGACCTTATTGAATACCCTAATGACCGTCACGAGGCCTACTTTGGAGAAAGGAATCTAGTAATACAAAGAGTTCCAGTAAACCCAAGCGGCGTGAACGTCCGCTACGGTTGCTATGATTGGGAACTGCTTAAGAAGACAGAGCCTTGCGGGACTTATAACACGGAAGCTTTCCCAAACGCCCAAGAGAGCTGACGACTCTAGATCATATATGACCAGTGTGGTAGTTTCATCCCCTGAAGTGAAAGCATCCACATTGTAAGCATTGGGAAAAACAGATGTCACTTGCCACCTGAGATCTGCATGCAGCCTGACAGGCGGCAGAAAGAGAGGCTGCAGCTAAACCAGAAAACGCCAGGGCTGGTTGTACCTTTGTCAGACCGCACGGACACGAAATCGAGGAACAACTCCACAACAGTTCACACGGGGAGAGGCTAGTAAATCCTACATTTAACGTTCCCACCTATGAGCTGGGGACTGGAGAGGTCTCAGGAAGTGGGTTGCAAGCAGACAGCATAAACTGAATCAGTAACAGTGCCTGAAACTGGCCGAATACTATTGATAAGCTGCGGAGAATAAGTAAGGACACTCGGTGTAACAATCAAACTACAATAAACTTGGCCTGAACGCGGGAAAGAACTAGGCGCTGTCAACTAACCCGAGTCTGACGAGTTCCTGCGTTCTACTGCATAGCTTCCGAACTTCCGCGAACGACACACAAAGGTTGGATCGAAATATCAAGACATAGTTTGCAGCAAATCAGTGGTGGATTCGTAACAAAATATGTGGTACTATCAAAGCAACAATAAGTTGTATCAAAATTACAAAAATACGTCAACAGTGCCGTTGGGTAACTATACATTCCAAACGTTCTTGGGTGCAAATACGTACTATGCCGTGAAAACTGGTCAGACAAATACAATTGTTAAGTACCTGACAGTCAATAAGAATATCCCCGACAAAAGGAATCAAAACTCTGTCTACCAGAACCAAATCAACAAGTAAACGTTTCCAGTAGACAGTCAAAAGACAAACAGTCAAATCACAGTACAACCGTAAGTTGAACCGAAACAAACTGTCGGATGCAGTAAAACAACATCACCTTGTCAACAGTCCAGTGTCACATAATAGGAAAGTGAGACATTCATGATAGGTCCCAATCATACAGAGGCAAACACTGAGTGCAAAGTCAGAGAAGGCAGCCAACCAACCAAATAACATTACACCTGCTAGGGTCATAGGTACGCCATCCATAACGAGGGTAAAACCATTCAAATAAATGTCAATGCCATCGAATAGGGTGATGAGGACTGATTTTCGGACCAGTTTTTTGTTGCTCGCAATTCATACAGAGTTATTTGGACGGATTTTTCTTCTTGTTGCAGAAGGATAATTAGGTGAAACGTATGGCACCGAGTGTAGTTTGAAGATCTCCCGCTCCATGCAGTCTCACCACTCGGCTCCTCCGTATTGCGTTTGAAAAACTGTCTTTGCTTTCTCCGTTTAAGCGTTTGATGTGGTAAAGAGGTTTTGAGTTCGTCTTGTAAAGGAACGTTTAATTCCTGCAGATTGCACCTCAGAAGTCACTCCGCAGATTA